GGGGTGGCAATCATATTTCTGGTTGGCCGTGCCACTCTTTATCACAACCCTGCTAAAATGTAGTGCCAGTACGTGCGCTCATTGGCGCCCCCTCCTGCTGGTGGCGCCCTAGGCCACTGCCTAGCTTGCCTATGCCTAGAAACGGTACTGCCCCGGCACATAGACTCCAGGGCTCTACATTAACGCTTCATTAACGTCAGACAAAACATGATTAAAACATCAGTAACCAAAAATAACTATGTAAACACCAAAACGCAAGTATTATTTAGATTTTATTACATTTAGAGCAGGGATGTCCAAACTCGGTCCTGGAGCGCCGGTGTCCTGAAGAGTTTAGCTCCAACCCCAATTAAACACACCTGAACCAGCTAATAAAGCTCTTACTAGGCATACTAGAAACTTAAAGGCAGGTGTGTTGAGGCAAGTTGGAGCTAAACTCTGCAGGACACCGGCCCTCCAGAACCGAGTTTGGGCACCCCTGATTTAGAGTAAGTGGCGAATAGTGGATGTAGCTACTGTATATAATGCATCTATTGACGGAATAAGGTTGCGCTGCTGAGGCGAGGCTCACGCAGCCTCTCCAGGAGAAATCATGCTTTAATTTCTTTGAAAAGTATCATTTCCACCATAATTTCTTGTTTGTATATTCAAAAATATTTAAAATAATCTCATAATATTATTTAATGCAGTTGTATTTTCAGTGTAAATGATTTAATTTTATAACGTATAGATAATCATTATTATAATTGAATTTATAGATCAAAAATATAAGAATCTGAAATGAAAGTATTAATGAGATTAGTGGGAAAATGCCCTCTATAAAGGTAAAAAAAATGCCCTTGGATAAAATATAAAAACCACGCAGATTTATATGTCACAGCTGATAGAAAACTGATGAGAATATTGCTTCAGAATAAATCATATTTGCAAAAAACAAAACTATATATATATATAGCAATTATTTTAAAACAACAAATAACGAATAGGTCTATGTTATCTTATTTTACTTAGAGACATTTAACAACTCTTTAAAACAAGCCTGTGTAAACGCAAATTTTGTAGAATTTCGATGCTGTTTTGTTATAGCCTATCTGTTCTGTTGAAATCTCATCATTTGGCAACATGCTGTTCAAGGCAGTAAGCAACATGAGCTGCGAAAATTCAACAAAAGTAGCTCGAATCGAATCACTTCATTTAGAATAATCTGAATCGATTCCGATCCCACATAACTAAAGAAAAAAAAGAGTTAAAGACGTTAAAACAAAAAGTGTTACGACACTTCTCGTTCTCCCTTAAGTCTAATTGCCATCATTTTTAAAAAGCATTAAAGGCCACCCAGCTCTAGCTATCGGGTCTTTGAAAAAAAAAACATATTTGGGCGACCACTACAGTACTATAGCCAACACAAAATACTACCATCATAAGAAAATATCTGGGACATTACCTCTGGTTACATAACACAATTTAAAACAATCTCATGTTTATATTGTACGAACGACCGTTTTAATGACGAGGATGATATAAAAACGAGGATATAAATTAATGTCAACAATAGGCCCCTTTCGCTGTCCAAGTCAGCAGCGCGAGCGCACGAGCCACCTTCTTCACCACCTGCAGAATGCGCAAGCTCGCGCCTCTCACTGCAGCGCGAGCTTCTTCGTTTATTACGCCAATACAGTCAATCCCCGAGATGCAACTTTAATTGAAGACACGATCAAAGATGCGAAATTGTTTAATGTGCATGCACGCGCGCACGCATCCACTCTCGTGACATTTGTAGAAATGCTGGGGTGCAACATTTACATTTGGGCTCAGGCAAATGGATGCTTGCTTACCTCCAGCGTTCGGATTTCTTTTTGTGTCAAGTCGTTGGATGTGGCACATTTGGTCCTCAGACCTTCCAAGCTGGATATACTAATGTCTATCATGTTTTGCACCAGTTCGCACTGCTGCAAGGCTTTTTGCAAACTCAGATGATGCTCGTCGCTTTTGGTCATATTCTCCTCGTCCATAATTTGTGAGCAGTGGTCCGTCTCTTAAGTGCAGGCTACTTTTTCGCTCGATCAATTTAGAAAACACCTTGATAGTGCGTTCGTGAAAGCACGAATAATGGTGTGCGATCATGAAAAACTAGACTCTACTTGTAAGGCGATTCCATTGTTGATATTCTGATATCCTGACGGGAGTTGTCATCAGTGTTGCACAGTTTATGTTTGATGCTCCTGCTTGACTCTACCATAATAGATAGAACAGATATTGAAGGAAGGAAGGCAAAAATACAAATCAGATCCTCGCTGCGGTGGCATCAGCTAGATCCATTGCGCGCGTGAGAAATACAACACAAATTGTGACATCTTTGTCATAGATGATAAAGGAGAACGTTAGGCGTTATTTCTTAAAGATAACGTCTGATTTGACTGCACGTATTCCCCTTCTGGACCATTATCAGCTGCATCCCGGCGCTCCCCCATCACACCGACATGTTCGCGTCAATCAAATTCACAGCATCAGCATCGCATCGCCGACACAAGCAGGGGAGAGAGTTCTCGCGAGATAAGCATCAATGCAGTGAGCTCACTGATTGAACTCGGAGAACCTTTTTTTAATCAAACCACTGTTTTATATGCTCAAGTTCTATAAAAAGTAGTTGAACTGCCTGTCAAATGAAAGTTGCCCCGCTTGCATTTCCAAGTGCAGCCTATACTTTAAAATCGACAAGCATCATCTTCACCTATCAATGTTAGAATATACAGCAATATAAACTGCAGATCAGGTGCATCCATTTAAAATAATAATAATAATATGACTAAGATGGTTTACTCGTTTTAGATGGTTTGCACTGGTCTAACAGCCACAGACCAACCTAGTAGACCAGCCAAGACCAGCAAACCAGCCCAGGCCATACCATTACTTTTTTACCTCTGTTTTTTAAGTATCTAATTTTAATTTCCACTGCAGACCTGTATAATTAAATTTTCATTGTATACTTGTATAAAGTATGGCTGGAATGACAACAAACAAATTCGAATAAGCAACACTGAATAAAAATCACCCCTGCTAAAGCTTTATGCGCTTTATCATTTTGCGTGAACACTAAATCACGCCTAAATACTTACAGTAACTGCTCCAATATCGTATTAGGGAATACAATTGCTTTTTGATGAATACATCCTTTTTAAACATGATACTTTGGAGGGCACCAAGCATATCGTAGACACGGCCAACGGAGAGTGACTTTGAATTTCTCTTAAACTCTTATTATGAAATCACAGCAAGAGAGTTCATCGTTAAACCCCGCCTTCATTAAATTCGCGCTTCTGATTGGTCGAGAATCTGGCAGCAAGCGACGTTCCCGGACGGAAATCTCTGTGTAGTAGTCAGAAAAACGCGCCAAAGCACATCGCGGGGTTGATTGAACAAAATAAAAGAGAATGGCATCAACAAGTAAAACACAACCTCAGACGAGAAATTTACCATGGTAATTGCGATCTTGTGTTCTTAGCTGATAGTTAAAAGGTGTTTATGTTACTCGAGACATTGTTTAGCCGACATGTGCAGCATTGCACAAGTTTGCTTTGTTTACATTTGAATTGCGCTTATTCTCCACTTTTGTCCATATGAATTTATGAGTATTACACCACTATGGGCTGTAGTTGAGCTCGTCATGTAGTATGTATGAAATGTATACACAAGAACGTATCAGACCTGTATTATTATTATGACAGCTGACATCGTATCATATTGATGGAGAAAAGCGATGATAAGTCAAGTGAATCAGTCAGTTCACTGCAAAATAGTCCTTATTAAAGCACATTTCTGAAATGATAAACTCTTTATTAATACTATCTATTTATTATGACAGTTAATGCCATTATAGTAATACCGTAATGTTAATATGGGGTCATTTAAAAAAGGTAAGAACGATTATTTGAGTTGCTGTCACTCCATTAGACTTAAACAATATGATAAAACACAAACGTGTTAAAACGCTAAGTGTTTTAAAAAATAATATTTCTTGATTTTCAGGGTTGAAAAGTACAGGCCACAGACATTAGATGACCTCATCTCGCATCAAGACATCCTGAGCACAAGTAAGCAATGATATGTACAGATTATAAAATGTACTCTTCCATTATTGTTATTAATAAATTAAGATTTGCACTGTAATGCTGATTTACAGAAGTGTCCTTAAAGGAATTGTTTAACCAAAATTAAAATTCAGTTGCATCCATGTTGAATTTCAGTTTGGTACTTACACAAAACTATATGGCTTCAGAAGACGTAAATATATAGCATACATTTTTAAAAAACATCTACTTTCTTTATCTTCCACAGTCCAGAGGTTCATCAGTGAAGAACGATTGCCTCATCTGCTCTTCTATGGACCTCCAGGAACAGGAAAGACCTCTACAATACTAGCATGTGCTAAACAGCTGTACAAAGATAAAGAGTTCAACTCTATGGTCCTGGAGGTACTGTAGAAGTTTGTCTGCAGATGTTTTAAGAATGCATATGTTTGGTGTATTTCTCCCCATGCCAAAACATATGTGGTCATCCATTTAAAAGAATAGTTCACCCAAAAATGAAAATTAGCTGAAAGTTTACTCACCCTCAGGCCATCCAAGGTGATGAGTTTGTTTCTTCATCAGAACAGATTTGGAGAAATTTAGCATTGCATCACTTACTCACCAATGGATCCTCTGCAGTGAATGGGTGCCGTCAGAATGAGAGTCCAAACAGGTGATTAAAAACATCACAATAATACACACGACTCCAGTCCATCAGTTAGCGTCTTGTGAAGTGAAAAGCTGCATGTTTGTAATGAACAAATCCATCGAGAAACGTTTTACTTCAAATCATTGCTTCCGGCTAAAATAGGGTCCTCTGTCTATAATATTGCTTTCTCCAAATCTGTTCCGATGAAGAAACAAACTGTTCTACATCTTGGATGGCCTGAGGGTGAGTACATTTTCGGTACATTTTATTTTTTTTTGTAATGCAAACTATTGTGTATTTTACTTCATCAGCTCAATGCGTCAGATGACCGTGGCATAGACGTGGTGAGGGGACCGATCCTCAGCTTTTCCAGCACACGAACCATCTTCAAGTAAGAACAGTACTCACCCTTACATCCCATTCATGAACAATTTGTATGATATAATATCTGTTCTCACATACAACAATGTATTACAGGTGTTTAAGAATGTCGTTTTCATGTAGCAACTATTGAATGACACCTGGTCTGTAGGTTGTTATTGCATTAAAATATTTACTGTTGTTGTAAAATAATTTACTGCTTCTTGTAGGAAAGGCTTTAAGCTGGTGATCCTGGACGAGGCGGATGCTATGACCCAGGACGCACAGAATGCTTTAAGGAGAGGTAGTGTACCATCTGCCCCTCTATCAGCTCACCTGCTGAGCCCCCAAATGGCCCGATGGCAGAAGAATAGGGTTCTGCCATTTCACTGTCCACAGTGAGACATGAATGAGAGCTGTGTGATTATGATTGGAAAATATTTAGAGTTTAAGGTTGACTTTGACAAAGCATCTGATTTTATGAAAAAAACGGTGTGCTTTATTTTAGGTTTTAAAATGTAAGAATGCCTATTCTGCATATCTTAATAGTTAAGGATCTATTTTTTATGTTATTATTATTATTTTAATTTAATTCCTTTTATATTCTTCATTTAAAATATTTGTATTATTTAAAGTAATAATTATTTTATTTTGAGACATGAATAAGCATTGTGATTGGAATAAAATATTTAAAGAGTTTAAATATCTATTTAGTATCTAGTATCTATTTTTAATTATTACTATTTCATATATTTTATTATTTAAATTATTTTTATTATATTTTGAGACATGAATGAGAGTAGTGTGATTGGGAAAAAATATTTAGAGTTAATTTTGTCAATATTTGTGATATTTAGGATAATATCACAAATATTTAAAATGTAAGAATGTGTGTTCTGGATATCATAGATAAACAGGGCTCGCAAAATCGCTAGCCCGACGTCCCGGGGCTATTGATTGTTCCAGTCGGGTTACCAAAATGTATCACCACTCTGCCCGACGGGCTATCTTAAAGGGGTCTTATTATGCTTTTTCACTTTTTGAATTTTAGTCAGTGTCTATGTTGGGCATAAAAAAGATCTTCAAACGTACAAATCTCAAAGTCCACTCCAAAGGGAGATATTTCGTTTTTAAAAAATCCCTTTTCAAGAACTACAACGAACGGCTCGTTTGGACTACAGCGTTTTTTTTGGGGGGTTTTGTGATATCACAAAGCGGCCCATTAGAATATCATTAAAATAATTCCCGCCTACGAAAATTCGAATGGTTGGGGGGTGGGGAGGGGCGAGGTCGTGGTTAGAACGCTTGGTTGAGTGCATCAGACAAGACTACGAAGAAGTGCTGCTGTAGCATCAAGTTTTGGCAAGTTATTACGCATGCACCTGAATAATTATGTATGTAAATATGTATGTTACAATTATGAAAACGTTTTTATAATAAATTGCTGACAGTACAATACTGGACAATGATGTAATCTGCAGAATTTATGTTTCAATTATGAGACTACAGTGTTTCCCATGCATTGAATGCGGGTGTTTTTATATCACTGTATTTCTGAAGGAAACCGACTGTCTTCAGAAAATTGGATGTCATTTTCATTTAATCTTGCATGTAATGTCTGATAAAGCAGTGTTTTTTTGAGCGGAGCTCTGCTTTGTGTACAGCCGTTACCGGGGAAACCTTGATCTCTACCACTCCAACAGCGCCTCCTGCTGGCAGATAATGAGTTTGCATATATTTGCCGCCTGGGAAACACTGGACTATGTTATAAATAAATTAAACTGTATAACAGTTTCACTGCAATTCATGTTATAATGTTAGAATTAAAGAACAATAAAAATAATACATATGCACTTAACAATAACGGAGTTTCAAGTCAAAACGCAGCGCGGATGTCTTTATTTGAATGTATCTGAAGGGAACCGACTGTCCTCAGAAACGTGTCGTTGGCATTTTAATTTCATTTGACCTATAATTCCTGATAAAGCAGCATTTATGAGCGCGGAGCTGCTTTGTGTACAGCCGTTACCGGGGAAACCGCAATATTTCAGCGCTCCTACCTGCCCGAAGGGCTACCAGGGATTTTTAAATTTTGCGAGCTCTGATAAAGATCTATTCTTTATTATTATTATTATTAAATGTATTTTATATAATTCTTCATTTTAAATATTCTTCTGATTTAAAATTATGCATTTTATTTTATTTTTTCAATCCTGTTGGAGATTTTTTTATGCAGACTTTATTAAGCCACACCTGATTTTCTCTCTCTCTCTCTCTCTCTTTCTGTCAGTCATTGAGAAGTTCACAGAGAACACGCGTTTCTGTCTGATCTGTAACTACCTTTCAAAGATCATACCTGCGCTGCAGTCTCGATGCACACGGTTTCGTTTCGGCCCCCTGTCCCAGAGCCAGATGATTCCCAGACTAGAGCATGTGATACAGCAAGAGAGGTGAGACTCTCATCACAGCCAATCCAGGTCAAGTGGATGTTATTTCTGAATTAAATTAATGTTGAATTGATTGCATTCTGAAAGAAATCCATACCACTCCATTTTTATAGATTTTTTTTTTCTCCAGAAAATTAAAAAATGTATTTATATTTTTATGTAGTTAGAGGCAAGACATCTTTTGTGCCGGTTGAAGATAGAGCAACATTGAAATGACAGTATTAAGACGTCTAGTGTTTTGAAATGAATGTTTGGATCATATCTAAAGTGAGTCATCAGATGGATCCACTCAAAAGACCCTGAACACAAAAGACCCTGGCTGGAGTGACCCAGCCCATTTGATTAAAAAACTCTTCACACAAACACACATTTTATATGGGCTCTGCCCTCTGGCACAGGACACAACTTTGAGCAAATAAAACCAAACATTGTATTTCCCTAGCATAGATTCATAAATATTTAAAAATCTGTTTTTCACTGATAGCATTGACATCACTCCAGATGGCATGAAGGCCATTGTGACCCTCTCAACAGGAGACATGAGGCGATCATTAAATATTTTACAGGTTTGTATCATATGTAAAAGTGATTTGTGGTTTGTTATGTTGCTGCTGGTATGAAAAATATGAATGAGAAATATCTGTAATGTGTGTTCTCATGTACAGAGTACCCATATGGCCTATGGGAAGGTGACGGAGGAGACGGTGTACACATGTACTGGACATCCTCTTAGATCAGACATCGCCAACATACTGGACTGGGCCCTCAATAAAGACTTCACCACTGCATATAAGCGTATCCTTTTTACTCTAGTGTTTGGTTAGTTATCCAAGCTTTACAGCTCATAATAGCACATAACCTTTTTTTTTTTGGTTTGTTTGTTTGTTTGTTTTTTTTATAAGAAATGGGATCAAAGTCACCGGTTCGCTTTGGATGACAGCATCTACAAAACGTCTGTTTGTAGATATTAATAATAATAACAACAATCAATAAATGAATAAAGTAAATCATTAAATTTATACATAAATATATCTATATTTACAAACATTTTATCCATATCAGGAAAATGACAACAGAGATTATGCTCAATGTATGCTAATCTGCTACATTTGTGGTTTATACATGTAATATTGTGACTATGTAAAATCAAACATAACATTTCTTTAATAATTATTACTATAGAAAAAGGAATAAAAAAGAATTATATATATATATATAATTATATATGCTATTATGATGATTATGTATTTTATAAAAAAAAAAAGTATTTTTAATATTGATATTTATAATTTAATAAACAATATTTTATTAATGATATTTAACGGTTTATACAGGAATAGGAATTGTAAGTTGCTGATATTAGTTTATGACGTTTCCAAAGTCCTTATCTGGGTTCAACAGAAATTCTGCAGCTCAAAACTCTAAAAGGTCTGGCACTTCATGACATTTTAACTGAAGTCCATCTTCTCATTCACCGTGGTAAGACTACACTTTTAATTCAGCCTTGCATGGCTCTTTAATCAGTTCCTCTTCAAAATAACCAAAGCAGTGCAGAGTCTAGTTGAGGCCTGGAACGCCACACACAACCTATCACAACTTTGATATAGTGATGAGCTACATGTTTTCCCTGCCCTTGTTACCATGGAGATCCTTTTGTGGTCGTCATGGAAACCGGTTGTTCTTGTTTTTAAAGGACGCCTGTTAGAAGTAGCAGAGTGTAGCGTGCTTCACACTAAATATTACACTATTTTCAGAAACCAGACTGCAATAATGAGTAAAATGGCAAAACAATTTTTATCACACAGCATGCCAGGTTTTCTGTGGGGTTTTTTTATGTTTTAAAATAACAAAAAAAAGATGTTTAGATTAGATCATTTTTAATCTGATTTGTTGGTCACACAATCAAAGTGTTGTTTGAGCACAGTTAGGTGGGTTAATTTTGCTCTAATGTTTCGTGTCTCTATTTCAGTGGACTTCCCACCCTCCATCCGCATGGGCTTGCTTATAAAGCTTGCAGATATTGAGTGAGTACATTCATTATGTCAAGTTATTTAGTAAATCGGTAGAGAAGTGTGTACACTGCTCTATTTATGACTGTTTGATTACTTAAATATGAATGAAGCAAACAGCACCACACTCACATTTGCCGCATGGATACTTTATCTACATGAACTCAACTATAAATAATAACTATAAATATTGTACAGCATATACAATCAAATTAATACTTTAATTCTGCAAGGATGCATTAAATTGGTCAAAAGTGACAGCAAAGTCATTTATAATATTTATATTTCAAATAAATGCTGTTCTTTTGAACTTTCTACTCAAAGAATCCTTAAAATGTATCACGTTTGCTCAAAAATATTAAGCAGCACAGCTGTTTTCAACATTGGTAATAATAATAAATGTTTCTTGAGCAGCAAATCAGCATAGAATGATTTCTGAAAGATCATGTGACACTGAAGACTGGAGTAACAATGCTGAAAATTCAGCTTTGCATTACAATAAATTACATTTTTAAATATATTAAAAGTTCTTTTAAATTGTATATTTCACAATATTGCTGTTTTTACTGTATTTTTTTAATCAAATGATTGCAGCCTTAGTGAGAATAAGAGACTTTTAAATACCATTAATAAATCATACCAACCCCAAACGTTTGAACGGTAGATACATTTTATTATTATATACTTGAGTGAGCATCTTCAAATTCTGTTCTTTCCTTTTTAACCAAAAGGTATCGTCTGGCCTCTGGAACCAATGAGAAGATCCAGCTGAGCTCAATGGTTGCAGCTTTCCAGGCTGTTAGAGACATCGTAGTCAGCGATAGATAGACCACACTTTGAAAGGGTTATGTAACATAGATCCATGATGTCATGAGAGGAAGTTGTTTACTTCATATTGTTCTGACAAAAAAACCGATGCGCAGAACCCTGTAATATTTTTGAAATGTTTATTTTTTATGCTTGAAATAAAGCTTGTCTCAGTACTTTGTAAAAGAAATGCTACATTTTCAAAGTAGTTATGTAAAAAATAAAGTCTTTAAATAAATATTTCAAGTCTTTGTTTTGAAAGCATAACCGTCTGGGGGAATTAGGCATCCTAGAAAATTATGCAACATTTAAAGCAAAGTTTGACCCACAAACATTACTTATTTTCATCTGCAGTGTTCTTCACAATATACGATCTTTTGCTTTGGAACGTCCCTGTAAGTAAGGTATTCCAGGATTTTTTTCGGCAAGGGAAGAGCCTCCACCTGATAGGTTGAAATGGAGAATCTCAGGGCGATCCGGCACAGATGCTTAAGGCTCGGAACGAGATGAGGAACTCTCCAGAATTTTACATGTCCATCTCTGCACCTACAATCAAATATAAAGACGTTCTTAATATTTATTCCAGTATACAAGCAGGGGGAAAAAACAGCCCCTAAAGTTTCTAGAGTAAACACTGAGCCGAAACTGAATATAAATGATGTTCCAACACAATTATGTGACTTGCAGTACCCTGTAGCAATGACGCCCCCATGTGGATGGAAAGCACAGCACACGCCACTGGCTCGGTTGTGATCAGTGTCTGCGACTAGTTTATCTTGTTCCATATCACAGATCCGTAACGCCCTGCAACACAGTACAGTCAGTGTCATCAGTAACAACAGCGAAAGGTGTGAGGTCACAAGGGTGATGTCCGGTAGGTAATGTAGCTCTGAAGATCTCAAATAGATGGTTCACTGCTCACCTGTAGTCTTTGAAAGCCAGCAGCAGACCAACCGGAGAGAAGCTAAGAGATGTCAGTAGACTGTCACTTCTGTAAGCACACAGCTCACAGTTTCTGGAAAGAGAAGCAAGTATTTTTTACAACAATTTCCAACATACAGTTTATTGTGACGCATAGTTTACCCGAGTAATCCACACGACGCCAGTCCATCAATTAACATCCTATGAAGTGAAAAGATGTGTCATTGATATGTTTTTAACTTCAAAATGTTGAGTCCTCTATCCATAATCAGGGGTGCAGTAACGGGCGAAGGTTAGGACGATTCTAAGGGCCTGACGAGGGAGAGGGGGCCCGAACGCGAGTGAAAAAGCCATCTCGTCTGAATCAGGAGAGAAATATGCACAGATCAAGCACCGTTTACAAGCGAACAGTTCTAAACAAATGTGTTGATAAATTTAGACTTTTTTTTTTTTTGGCCTCGTAGTTTGGCCAGAAGTGATGGTTTAAAGTTAAAACATCTTAATGATGGATTTGTTTCTTACAGCTTTTCACTTCACAAGGTGTTAACTGATGGACTGGAGTCATGTGGATTATTTGCAGATTATTGTGATGTTTTCATCAGCTGTTTGGACTCTCATTCTGACGGCACCCATTCACTGCAGAGGATCCATTGGCGAGCAAGTGATGTAATGCTAAATTTCTCTAAATCTGTTCTGATGAAGAAACACATAGCAAAATCAATAAAATTTATGAAAATTAAAACTGAAAATATAAAAATAAAAGCTAATTCAAAACATTAATTAATTAGGTATCAGTACATAAATAATACTAAAATAAGAAACTCACAGAGTCATGGCTGCAAATAGAGGTGATCACACTGCTGTCAGGTGATATGGAACATCTGAAGACCCAGCAGTTTGGACCCCGCAGCACATGGGGACTGGTGCCTGCAAATATCAGCAATACAATCTTCATAAGTACAAAATTAAAGGTCATGAAAACTTACTTTCATCCCATTGCAAAGATACGTTGCTTCCACATCAGATGCTCTGACCTTTCTTCGCCAAGTCCCATATCCTTAAAGTTTTATCTCGGGAGGCCGATACAAGCGTGAGACTTCCATTTGGAGTGAAGACTAAATCCCTGACAGGAGCCTGATGTCCGGTTAGAGTAAACCGCAGATTTCCTGAAGACAGAATAGGGATTTACTAACATATTAAACCTAATATTACATGTGCTTAACACCATGCTGTTAATATTTAGACCAATCTAAGTTCTTGATGGTGAAACTGAGTCCAGAGTTCAATCTTACCAGTTGAGACGACCCACACTTGGATCACGCCGTTGTTCAGACCAATGGCCAGCAGTAGCTCATGATAATGTCCGTTTTGATGTGAAGCATCCACTTGGGTAGACAGGCAGGGACCAAACGCCAGTGCCCACACCGTCTGCCTGCAGTTAAGTGTCTTCTCTTCAATGCATACAGCTTCGGCACTACTGTTAATACAAAGAAGAACAGAAGAAGTTTCAGCTGTGCTCTACATCCAAGTATGAGACGTTCCGGCTCAGCTTCCTTCATTGTTCCACATTACCCTGTGACTTTATGTAAAAAAAAAAGTACTGTGGTAGTACCATGGTACAGTAATGGTATCAAAAGATACCATTACTGTACCATGGTACTGTGATATATACCATGGTACTGAATTAGTACATTCATTTACCATATGGTAAAGAATATACGCTCAAAAATACCATGGTACATTTTTGGATGGACTATAGTTACTTGGAATCAGTCCTGTGGTACTTTTTATAAGGATTGTAGTAAAATAGTTTTGTCAATGAATTAATAAAATACTTTGATATATTAAAATAGTATTTTCAATCAATCAATCAAACAATAAAATACTTTGATATATACATTGTACTGTATATTTCTATATATAAACATCAGTGTTATTTTAGTATCATTGAGATTGTATTATTTTATTAATATGTGAAATTAGTTTTTATTTTTCAATTTTCATTTTAATTAAAGTTAATTAAGGTTTTAGGATTTTTTCTTGTGAGTTTATGTCATTTTATAAATGTGGTTGTGTGCGTGCATGCCGTGTGTGTGTGTGTGTCTCTGTTGGATAGCGCTCAGTTCGAAGTGATTTCTGAAGGATCATGTGACACTGAAGACTGGAGTAATGATGCTGAAAAAAAATCAGCTTTGAAATCACAGGAATAAATTACATTTTAAAATATATTCAAATAGAAAGCAGTTATTTTAAATAGGAAACATATTTCACAATATTACTGCTTTTGCGGTATTTAGGATCAAATAAACTCAGGCTTGATAAGCAGAAGAGAATTCTTCTGTTTAAAAACTTTTGACTGGTTGTATATATATTTTTTAATGGTAAACCAGCCAACAAGGACTGGTTTCAGCTGTTTTTTTCAGCGGTGATATTATTATTATTTTATTTTTTTGTGACAGTTTGAATGTTCTCCCATAGTAGTAATTTATTGTGGTGTTGATATAAGCCTATATTTATTAAACCATTGTGTTATCTTCTGAACATAGACGCACTCTTCGGATGTCAGCGGCCAGGAGAGCAGTTTGACGATGCCGTATCCCATCGACCAGGCAAAAGAAGATCCGTCCGGGGAGAAGCGGACGCTCCATGTCTCGCAGCCGGCGGAGCCGTACAGACGCGGGTGATGAGCGGGTTTCAGCTCCGCGATCAGATCATGCGGTTCTGTCACAATCGGTCTTTGTCAGGTGACGTCACACTCACGAGAATCGAAGTGCATTTTGGGTATCGCCGCCATTTGTAAGGTATCAAAGCCGAGGTGTTCTGTAGTTGGAGAATTGTCTTTTTCATTTGATTTAAAATGGTACGTTCTTGTTGTGTTAAAGTCTGCAATAGTGAATTACATGATAGAAAAGGTCAAAAACTCACCACGAAGAAAGATATTTTAGGTCTCACACTTGAAAAAAATTAATCATCATCAGTGACAAATTACATAAATTACGGTTCCTAAAAAAATTTGCTGAGATTATCTCGGAACCGTATCTACTTGGTTTGCATCTGTTTCTCCAGTATGACGATTTAATCGGTCTTTACTGCACGGCTCTGTACACTTTTAGTTCACTGCTCAATGCAACGATACCTTCAAAATGGCGCCTCGGTGACGTCACACATAATAAACGCACGTGACTGGCAAAGACCGATTAACGAGACCTGTCATTTACAAAAACAAATGCGCATATCCGGAACTACTCCTAGCCTACAAATATAAAAACGTATTTTCCTCTTACACCAAATGCATATGCTTATATATCCTCTAAGGTGTGTGTGAATCAACTTACCTTTGACAGTGCAACCTCGAAACGAAGTGCACATCATCTTACCACTAAAATCGTGTATGCATAATTTCACCTCTCCTCTGCATTCATTTCACTAGGGGGCGTGGCCAGATGGGCAAACCACGTGACCCCGTCGTCGAGTGTATCATAAAGGGACTTTGGTATCATTCTCAGTACAGTACATACTTGGGTGTGTCTACTGTATATTTACGGTGTGTTTTATACTTATGTCATTCACATCTCAGGTATCGTGATTTTACAGCTTTGAATACATTTTATTTTACAATGTCATTTAAAGCTAGTTTACTCTAAGTTTTTTTTTTTTTTTATGTGGCCAGGAGTGGCCGTGGCCACCACTGACCTAAGCTTGGCCACCCCACTCACAACTGCAGTTTTTGTGTCTTTATTTCTTGACAAGAAATGCAAACTTTCCTGCCCTGTCAGGCGTTTTGCTGTGCTCACTGCGCAGTGCGCACACTCTGACTTCAACTGTATGCAAATAGTTGCAAAACTGTGCAAGCATGTATGTATGCATCATTTACGTCTCTCAAATGCATGTACTAAAATATTCTGCAATTCGAGATCACAATAAAGGCGCAAGCTGATATGTATTTTTTTTTTTTGTAATTTAATGCACAATTAAATGTGAGCACAGTGCACTTGTAATAGGAAATATGCGCTAATTTTTAGTTAATTTGTAAAGTACGAAAATTAAACTATAGGTTATTTAAATTAAGAAAATAATTAATTTTACATTCTGGCATTTATGTGTTGACTTGCGCCCTTTTTCACATTCTTGCACATGGGGATTCAAAAGAGAACTTTTTTTCCCCCTTTGTAGAGTTCAATTTAGGTATGATAGAACTGTTGCAGTTAATTTATTTTGACAACTAATAGAATGTTAAACATTCACTGTTTACTTTTTCAAAGTTCATTGATTAAGTGAAGGTTGAGTAAACTTTGAACTAGTTATCTGCATGTCTCATCCATGAGTACGCAATGATGGAGAACAAGCCTTTGGTGGTGTTGAGAACCAGAACCAAGCTGACTAAGCAATAAGCCCCTTTATTAAAATACCTGGAGATGAGGAATAATACAATCACTGTCATATTCACTCAGTATTACGTGATCTAATTCACATCTCAATTACAATTGAGTACAAATTAATTGTATTCAGTTGTGTTTTAGGCACTAAAACGGTCCAGTTTTATAGTCAAACATTTTTATATTGAAATAATGAAGATTTCTGTGCCACCCCAGACTGGTTGCTGACCCCTTCCTGGCCACCCCTATGAAAACATCCTGGCTCCACCACTGGTTTTATATATTACTGAAACTGTATATCGACATAATTTAAGCAGACCCCCTAATTCTCATTATTAAAAAGATCTACTTTTTAATTATGTAATGCCAAAAATTACGATATTATTAAAATTGTATTTATACACAATGTTAGTATTTGTTGTAATGCCTTCAACTTAGGCTTAAATTTTAAGCAATATATATATATATATATATATACATACATATATATATGGATGATCTCATTACTGTATTACAATCTGAAAAGAAATCTCCATTGAGAAAATGAGAATTTTAACACAAGTTAGTAAAATGTCTGGATGTTTTACAGTAATGAGAATTGAAAGGAAATCTACTTAATTGTCATGAAAATAAATTAACAATGCAGAGAAATTGCAATGGTACAAAATAGGCCTCCCTTAAGTTTATTATTATTGTTGTTGTTGTTATTATTTAGCCAATATGAGCCAGATATATTTTGTTGAAATTCACCCATAAATAAAGAAAGCATTATTCAAACCAGTTCAAGTAACAATAACATTTCATAACACAGTATGGAGTGGTAAAAGTGTTAATTGATGTGAGGCCAGTATATTAAAACCTAATACTGAAAATAAAAACGGGGCCTCTCTAAAATAAGTTTAAGATCTTTACACTTTACACAGATTGCTGGAATATTATACAAGGATAATATCAAACAACAACAAACAAATAATTTAGCAGAGTTGACCATTTTGAAGAATTACTTTTCTGTACATTTAAACTGATAACTAGCTGTTTTGCTGACTGTTGTACTTATTCTGGATGTGTTTGATCGTTGTGTTGATTGGTACTGTCTGCCTTATCTTCATGATCACCTGTAAAATATACACACACGTGTTTCAGCATATCCGAAAGTACAAAAAAAAAAACACAATTCATCATCATTCTCTCATATTTCCAGGTTTTTCAACTGAACAAAAGTCATTTCTCAAACTTGCCTTGCTTATATTTGCTCAAGTCTTGTTTAATTTCTTCATTATGTAAGATTTCCCAGTTCCCAATTCTTTCAAAATAAACTCCTTTTGATATTATAACACAAATGTCTAAACAATACTCGGGAAACCGTTAACTTACTGGATGGTATTCTGTGAATCTCTACGAGTGTGGTTGCATGTCCGTTTGTCAGCGGAGGGAGTTGTGGAACAGTATGATGGAAAATTTCCTCTTCATCTGAGTCCACCAAACTCAGTATATCCCCTCTGTCATCATCTAAATGACTAGAAAGAAAATGTTACAATGCCTCAGCTTTACACATCCTTACCAGCACGTTATATGTACAAAGACAATAAACGTATATTTTGGAATAATGCTGACATATTACTATGATTATTAATGAGTTGTAATGTTTTGCGGTCATACTTACCTAAATCCTAAACCTGAAAAATAAAAATATACATTTATACAAAAAATCTTTATATAAAGAGTTTTATTTAGCAACTCAGTATGCAAAATACTTACCAATACAAATTCTATCCCGCTTTGAATATACTGTTACACCAACAGTGACTCCAATCATCATTATCAAAATGGAAACAAAGACACCAACTACGGCCCCTCCATTACCTGCAGAAGCTGAGAACAAAGATTAAACAGTCATACTGTACACAGTCTGAAACTTCTTTTATTACAAAGGGGAGAAGTTCACGTGGAGGATGTTGTGTAATACTTCTGCAAAGGGAGAGGTATTACAGAGCAATATCAGAAACATCTTGTCTGATCACATTCATGCAGGTATCATCATCACTAATATTTGAAGTATCTACAGATCTGACCTCTGATGTATTTTTTAAAACATGCGTCTCATTCTTAAACAACTGAAATCATACGGTTTTACTGTGAATCTCACATATCCTGTCAAGAACTTCAAAATCAAAAGAAAAAAAATAAAAGAAAAAAATATTTTGCTTATAGTAAATAAAGCTTGTTGTAAGGACTATTTAAGATACAACGTGACATTATTTTCATGACAGTTTTCCATGAAATTCTACCATATTGCAAATTGGATAATGTTCATATTTGTAAGGCAAATTATAACTGTACATATGTGTCTAATATATACACTGAACAAAATTATAAACGCAAAACTTTTTTGCTTTTGCCCCCATTTTTCATGAGCTGAACTCAAAGATCTAAGACTTTTTCTATGTACACAAAAGGCCTATTTCTCTCAAATATTGTTCACAAATCTGTCTAAATCTGTGTTAGTGAGCACTTCTCCTTTGCCGAGATAATCCATCCACCTCACAGGTGTGGCATATCAAGATGCTGATTAGACAACATGATTATTGCACAGGTGTGCCTTAAGCTGCCCACAATAAAAGGCCACTCTAAAATGTACAGTTTTACTGTA